GAAACGTTGTGATAAATATGGCAACAAAGATGGGGACAATAGTCTAAATAAAGTAAATAGTATACATAATACCTTATCTTAGAAATATAGACAGAGTGTGTGTGTGTGTGTGTGTGTGTGTGTGTGTGTGTGTGTGTGTGTGTGTGTGTGTGTGTGAGTATTTGTGTGTGTGTGATAGGATGAGGAACAAATAGGAAATGTTTATAGATTTAACATGTTTCACTTTTATTAAAAGCTTCAAGGAATCATTTACAAAAGAACACTCTCAATGCATTAGTTGCTCATCTTAATGAGTTTGATCATAATTTCGATTCCCAAACTGCTGCTTTAATTAAGAGAACGCTATTTACTAATAGGAAAATGTATAGAAAGTGCTTTAATTGCTAGATGCTCGACAGTAATCTTACGTACAGGTTCTTACATTTCACCTTTCTTGACAGATGTTCTCTTATCACAATAAAAGTTATTTAACAGCAAAAGTGATAAAAGCTTAAACAAAGAGAAAAGACTAAATGAAGTCGGCTAGGCTATTCATCCAAACACACATATTTAAATAAAAAAAGAACAGAGAGAAGAAAAAAAATTAATGTCAACGCCCTCTCTCCTTCATGCGCATGTGTAATCACATCAACGTAATCATTGCTTTATTCCGACGAAACGCCTCGCACGAAATTTTTTCACTTTGTCATAGATGTTCCTAAAATTGTTCTGATATATTCAAAAATATATATCGTTTTGCCATATTTTTCAAAAATACAATTCAGAATAAAAGTAAATATTTTGCAAGTTTAAGACTCTTTTTACATTCCTTCCTGTGTATCATGTTGTTGAGGGGTCCACCCCTTTTTATACAAATGGACTCACCCAGTGTATACTTATACGACTGCCAGTGAATATCCGAGGAGAGGAGTCGAGTCGAGAGTAAAAGGTTGTAGGTAACCGGAAGAGTGAGGGTGAGGTAACAGCGTTGCAACAGTCACCGTGAGCGAACACGTAGACTCAGTAAGAAGTCATACAGCGATACTTCAATACCAAAGACTGTATATATATTTTGCTACTAACCCGTATTCCTGAAACTACTAACCTGCTTTACCAGTTTGTATTATTACGTTAATACATTATTTTCATATATTCATTCCTGGCGTTTTTATTTATTGGTACCGGATTTCAACCCGGAATCCACAGCACATGTTATCTCACTCCCCCCTCTCTCTCTTTCTTTCTCACTCTCTCTCTCTATTTCTATCTTTCTCTCTCTCTCTCTCCTTCTCTTTCATTCGTACATAAACATACAAGGGTGTGCCGAAAAGTTCACGGGATGACTATGAACGAGTGATGTTAAACCTGTGAAATCTTGCATGCATTAATTAATTTCAACAGTTCTTATTAATAACTGCATTATTTATTTTCAGAAAAACTGGCATCTGACTGTTCAAAGTTCATGGAATGTGACCAAATGAGGTTTATTTATCCACATAGTTCCCTTTGCGGTCCACACACTTCTTCCATCGGCTTTGCAGTGCTTGGATGCCATTAGTGAAGAAGCTTTTATTCTACTGCTCAAAAAGTCATCAACAGCAGATATGACGCCATTATCACTGCAATACTGGTTGCCAACCAAGTATTTTTCATGTTGGGGAACAGATGATAATCAGGAGAATAAAGAAGGTGATCAACAAGTTCAAAGCCATAGTCACATACAGAAGCCATTGAAACCAAGGGTGTGTTATGTAGGACAACTGTCCTGATGAAACAAGACACTTTTTGTCAGTTTTCCTGGATGTTAGATTTTGATAACCTTTCGGAACTCCTTCAGAAAATTGCCATAGCACTCTCCGTTAATAGTGTGGCCCTTTTGAAGATAACCAACAAACACAATGCTTTTTGCGTCCCAGAAAACTGTGGCCCTAACCTTCCCTGAAGATCCAACGTTGGAGCAGGATTGTCTCTTCACTCACCCTGGGGTAGGAAACGCTCAAATAAACCAGCTGGTTCTGCCTAAAACAACGTCAAATTTTCCAGTAATGTGATCAGCCTGGTGCGCTTTTGATCAGGTGTCAGAAGACGTGACATCCACCGAGCAGAAACTTTCGTCATGCCAAATTCATTGTGCAGAATATTCTCAACTCTCTCACGGGGTATACTAATAGCATTTACTATTCGATTTATAGTTAATCGCCTGTCATCCATCACCATTTAGTGAACACAATCAATGTTTTCCCTCGGTGGTGGCATTTGCAAGACGTCCACACATTGTGTCATATTCAAGACTATCCCTTCCCCTCCTAATTTTAGTCGCCCGCCAATGTACTGGGTCATCTCCAAATGTAGCAAACATGTCAACATTGGTGGCTAAATCCCTTTTACTGGAGGTACTTGATAACACCATTTTCAAGAGAAGTCCTTACGAGTTACTTCTGAAGTCATCTTTCAACAGACAGGTGTCAATTTAGCTGAAAAGAAACAATTTCACAGCTGTAGCAACACTCCTTCATAGTCAGCCTATGAACTTTTCAGCCAACCTTCGTACCTGGAAAGAAACAATGCAGTTTATTATTAGGTTGGTGCAAAAATAATGACGTAATAATGTCGTTTTTTGACGTTAAAAAATACGTCAAAAAGCGACATTATTACGTCATTATTTTTGCACCAACCTAATAATAATAAGAGTTAAAATTAATGCGTGCAAGGTTTCACAGCTCTACCATCACTCCTTCATAATCAGCCTATGAACTTTTCACCCCCCCTCCTCGTATACAAACAAGCACAACACCGCAACTGCGTAGATGCATCTGTAAATTTAAAACACAAAATGAGAAAAAGGTATACAAAATACAATGGGCGAAAAAGTATTTGAACAATTCCAAATTTGTATTTGATATACTTCCAATGTTTATATTTACTTTAAATTTCTATATGTGAAATATTTTGAAGCAAAATTATCATCTGCTAAAATTGCTTATTTTCAAACGTAAAATGCAGAATAAATATAAATATTTTACAAGTTTAAAATTCTTCTTTTCCCGTTCCTTTCTGAATATCATGTTCTTGAAATCATCAATTGTAAACCTAAAAAAAAATCTTTATGATAACAAACTATAGAAGACGATTCGACCTTTCACAACAAAACAAACCAAAAACCATTATTTTCCGAACATTAATATAGAGAGAATCAACAGCATTTACCATAATTCTGCTTCTTTTTCACATTTTTTCCATGAAACGCATCCGTTATTTTATCAGCCTGAAGTCACACTGCCTGAGTTGTTTCATTTTATGCTATTTAAATCAAACATCATGAAAACCTCACATCAGTACACAACATTTGCTTCTTTCAAAATCTTTTTCGCTGCTTGAATTTGTTCAGCGGCATATCAACCTTTACTGGTTATTTAATACCGAAATCTAAATATTTTGAACAGAATTTTATGTCTTCAACTAAATATATTTTGAGCGCAATTGTATACCTTCAACTAGAGATAAAATGTATTATTGTTCATTTTACTATAAAATGTATTTTCAGTAATTTTACTATAAATAGGTATTGTTGTTTGGTAGTTTTTTGTTTTTTTTAGCGGCATATCAAATGAGGGTTATTTCATGCCGAAAATTTTGAACAGAATTTTATGGCTTCAACTAAATATATTTTGAACGCAATTGTATACCTTCAACTACAAATAAAATTTATTGTTGGTCATTTTACTATAAAATTCTATTGCTGGTCATTTTGTTTCAAAAATGTATTGCTTGTAATTTTACTATAAAAATGTCCACATATCCAGCTTTTCATAAGTCAACCATTCATCCATGCTTACAAGGATTTGTCTTCTCACCGGACCTATACATTGAGGTTTAAATTATTTTCAAAACCCATACAGATTTCCATGAATCTACAGGGATAATTTCACTTCACTTAGCCAATTGCAACGTTGTCCACATACACAGCTTTTCATCAGTCTACCATTCGTCCATGCTTCGAATATATGCTGCCACATATAGTCTAGTGCTCCTGTAGTATACTTAGAGATATTCTAGAATCCAAAGAAGAATCTGCAATGTTATTTGTCCTGACCTGGCATCCCTATTTCATTCACTTTCTCACCGCCTTAATGTAGCTTCCCTGAGCCTTTTCTATAAATACTCTCATGGTAATTGTTCTGATGAACTTTGATCTATGATACCTAGACTTCACGAATTTAGCGCGCAGCAGAATCAGGCCAAATATAAGACAAAAACACTGCAGGTTCGTTAAAGACACCGGAATAAGGAACGCAATATTTATGCTTAGAATGTTATCAGAAAGAGCAATACAAATGCAGAAAGACGCGTTCTTGTGTTTTACAGATTACGCAAAAGCATTCGACAAAGTACGCCACAAAGATCTGTCAGAGCCGCCTAGCAACTTTGACATATTCGGGAAAGATATTATAATAATCAAGAATCTATTTTGGTAACAAACCGCCTGCATACGGACAGAAAATGAGTTCAACTGATATACAAAAATAGAAATGAGTGTAACACAAGGATATGACTTCTCACTGGATTTATTCAACATATACAACGAGGCAATTCTAAGAGGATTAGAAGTTCTACCAGGATTTATTATTGGCGGCCACAATGTTAACAATATTAGATATGCAGATGATACAGTGTTGATAGCTTCCTACAGAAGGTAGCGAAAGAAAGCGAGAAGAAAGGACTAAGCATAAACTACAAGAAGACAGAATGGTTATCGGCAAAAGGATGAGCCCAAAATGCAAATTACAGGTTGGGGATACTCAAATCAAGCAGGTAGAGAGAAATTTAAATATCTGGGAAGTGTTCTAACAGAGAACGGAAATTGTGACACAGAGATCCGAAGACGTATTGGGATGGCCAAAGATGCATTCCAAAAGCTAAGCAGAGTATTAAGAGATAGAAACATTTTGTTAGAAACAAAGAAAAGAATATTGAACTGTTATGTGATATCTATGGGACGTGATGGAGAGGTTTATTCGCACGAAAGATCTACAATGTATCCGATATAGATAGATAGATAGATAGATAGATAGATAGATAGATAGATAGATAGATAGATAGATAGATTTGAACAGAATAGATAGATTTGAACAGAATGAAAAAGATAGATAGATAGATAGATAGATAGATATGATAGATTTGAACAGAATAAATAGATTAGAACAGAATGAAAAGATAAATAGATAGATAGATAGATAGATTTGAACAGAATAGATGAACAGAATGAAAAAGATAGATAGATAGATAGATAGATGTGTTCAGAATTAAATAAATTTGAAAAGAATGAGATAGATAGATAGATAGATAGATAGATAGATAGATAGATAGATAGATTTGAACAGAATAGATAGATTTGAACAGAATGAAAAAGATAGATAGATAGATAGATAGATAGATAGATAGATTTGAACAGAATAAATAGATTAGAACAGAATGAAAAAGATAAATAGATAGATAGATAGATAGATTTGAACAGAATAGATAGATTAGAACAGAATGAAAAAGATAGATAGATAGATAGATAGATGTGTTCAGAATTAAATAAATTTGAAAAGAATGAGATAGATAGATAGATAGATAGATAGATAGATAGATAGATAGATAGATGTATTCGCACATTTTTGACACCATATATCATCCAAGCTATTTTGTCTGCAAGGTATGTGCGCATCTTCGCACTGAACGACGCACTCGGCAAAGAGTAGATGCCTAGCGAAATCCGCAAACGTACTTCTGCTCGCATCAAGGCAAAGGTCATACACTTTATATTTACTTGCTCGACAGGAAACACGTTCTGATAAGCCAAACATACGTTATTCAGCGTTTCCCCAAGATTGCGCGCGCTTCAGAAATCACGCGCGAATAAAAACGCGGGTGAAGCAGATATTGTGATCTCGCAGACAACAATATCTGTTACTGAAGTAGTCACATTGGTAGAAACATGATTGGCTGAAGTTAAGCCATTTCCCTAGAGATCCACTCTGATGTGTTGCTTGCAGAGAAAATGGATGAATGTATGTAAAGGTTAGCCATCACCAATCTGGTAAACATTAATCCGGTCCAATCAGTAATCCGGCACTGATTTCAACGAGAGCCATTTCAGAATTCCCCAAGTCACTGCACAGACCTGCTACTGCTGTTTGGTAGCGATAACTGTTGCCTCAGATGTTTTTGAGAACTTTCCAACACTAGTAAGGCATTTTATTATGTATTTTTATTATGATGTACTAAAGTTAAGCCCTAGCCATGGATCCATTAAATGCAGAAAGTATTATTTATTTAGTATCTGTCTATATTTCTGAGATAATGTATTAAGTACACTATTTACATTATTCGGACTATTGTCCACATCTTTGTTGCCATATTTAACACAACGTTTCGGCTACTGTACGCTCTGGCCTTCTTCGGGTGGTTAGAATGTTGAACTGAAACCTTTATTTCGCTCGTTGGGGTAGACTGTTCAAGTTCTATGTGCCATGTGTAATGGGTGTCAGTTATCAGTTATCTCCTGTTAATTCACCTCTCCAAATTCTCGACTGCCTTAAACAGATACTGAACTCACAACACTTAAGGACACATGGCACCGTGGATAAAGGCGTTGGTTAGATCCATTGACAGGACCCAAAGAGTTCAATACCTGGTTAAGGCAGTGGAGAAAAGAATCGGCGACAAGAACAGAGACGCCAGAAAAGGAAAGAAGAGGGTTCCGTCTCCAAGCCTGCTTCAGCATCCCATGTCACAACTGCAACAGACTCTTCAGGGCGAAGATCGGATTCATTAATCATCTCTGCCCCAACCCCGCCCCTCGAGTGATTCAAAGTCAAGGTCATCTCCGCGTACGGAGGATGAACGCTATTTAAATTAAGTTGTTGCTTTTGACACGATTATTCTCCTGATTCAATCAAGGTGCGTAGCATGCGATGTGGCATAGTTGTAGCTCAGTTATCGTGGTAGGCAGACGCCAGGCGACAATCCATTTTCAGAAATCCGAGTTGATTAACACGGGGTTAAGAGAATAAAAAACAAGATATATACATGCTTAAAAAAGGCAAACTTCTCAGAAAGGCAAACACTTTTGCAACTAGAGTTCATTAAACTAAAACCATTTGGCTATCACCAATCCGGTAATCAGTTATCCGGTACTAATTTCAATGAGAGCAATGGCAGAGGTCACTATTGCATCAGCTGTTTTTTAGATCTTTCAAACACTGGCAAGGTATTTCTACTTGTCTTTCCGTTCATTCTTATTATAACGTACTGGAATTAAGCCCTAGCCATGGCTCCATTGAATGCGGAAAGTGCTATTTAGTTAGAGTGCTTTTGTTCATTTTTATTATAAACTGTTTACATTTACCTACAGTCATGAATACCAATGAATTACAGGAAATTTTTCTTGTGTTGTAAAGTGCAAACATCATACATTGTCCATATCAAATAAGGTAGAAATTGAAAAATAAAAACTTGAAAGCTGCGTGTCTCTGTGAAACTTGTATGACTTATACCACATTCATACCCTGACTCACTTTGAAAATGGCAGTGATGAAGTAACTCAACAGAATTACTTGTAACCTTTGTTTTACCTGTGTTTCATTTAAATTTCACATTATTTTCATTAACCAGCATGTATTAGTTTACAGGGTATTTCAAACGTAGGATAAAGTGGTTAGCTGTTGGGTTAAATGTATTCTAATATAACCATCAGTAATTGGACAAAACAACTTATCCAATATCATAGAAGTCCCAGTGATGCCAGATTAGTGTGAGTCAATATTTTATTTGTATTTCAAGTGATATTTAGTTAAAGAGCTTTTGTGCATTTTTATCCTGACGTGCTAAAAATTTACCCGCAGTCATAAGGATGAAATGATGTGGGTAGTGAAGCAGTCTAAATGTTTTTAATGCTTAATTTATGAAAGGCCTGAGGAGATTGTCCAATATTCACTATATATTATAGGAGATTAGATATTACATAGCAGTTCAGCACTCTTTTCTTTGTTTATAACGACATTTTCCTATTTCTTAATACTTTGCTTAGTTTATGAAAGGCATCATGAAATTGTCTAGCATCCAGTGCTGTATAAGAGATTAGATATTGCATAGCAGCACTCTTTTCTTTGTTTCTAATGGCATTTTCCTATCTCTTAATACTTTGCTTTTTTTATGAAAGGCATGATGAGATTTTCCAGCATTCACTTGCATATAGGAGATTAGATATTACATAGCAGTTCAGCACTCTTTTCTTTATTTCTAACGACATTTTCCTATCTCTTAATACTTTGTTTAGTTTATGAAAGGCATGATAAGATTGTTCAGCATTCACTTCCAAATAGGAGATTAGATATTACATAGCTGTTCAGCACTGTTTTCTTTGTTTCTAACGGCATTTTTCTATCTCTTAATACTTTGCTTAGTTTATGAAAGGCATGAAGCAATTGTATATAGGAGATTAGATATTACATAGCAGATGAGCTTTTTTATATAAAAATGCAATAATAGTAATGAATTTAAGTGTAGTACTAGTTTGTTAGCTAAGTTTCATCGTTTTACTGTTCTATTTATTTTATCACACTTATCTATTGTTAAATTCTCTTCCGGCTTCCTGCCTTCCTGCCAACTAAGATCTTCAAAAATGTTAATGTAACGTCAACCGCCATATTGTCTTTCTTAATCTTGTTTTATATTGTCCTTTATCCTCAATAAGTTTTTATCATTTTCTTCGCTTTCAATAAGCTTCTATGGCTTAGTGTTATTATTGCCTTGCTTCGGGTGAAATGATTCCAAAATATATAGAAATGCTGCTATGTTGTGCTTAATTGGTTTACCTTGCTAAAAAACGATGATGTGCAACAATATACTGGCAGGGCTTCTTCAAAATTTCTTCCTCTTGATTATCTGAAGGTTCGCTTGAATGGGAAACGGAGTAGAAAATCAATTTCAAATAGTATACGCCACTGGTTCTGAGAGAATTTAACGTTTGTAAACAACACTAACGATGAGCAAAGTACACACTGCTATCAACAATAAGAAACAAAGTAAGCAATGTTACCAAATTTAAGAAACAATGTACACGATTTTATCAACAATAAGAAAGAAAATTACACGATGCTATTAAGAGTAAGAAACAAAGTACGCGATGCTATCAACAGTAAGGCACAAAATAAGCAATTTTATCAAATTTAATAAACAAAGTACACGGTGCTATCAACAGTAAGAAACAAAGTACACGATTTTATCAACAGTACGCGATGATATCAACGGTAAGAAACAAAGTACACGATGCTAACAACAGTAAGAAACAAAGTAGACGATTTTATCAACAGTAAGAAACAAAGTACGCGATGCTATCAACAGTAAGGCACAAAGTATGCGGTTTTATTAAATTTAATAAACAAAGTACACGGTGCTATCAACAGTAAGAAACAAAGTACACGATTTTATCAACAGTATGCGATAATATCAACAGTAAGAAAGAAAGTACACGATGCTATCAACAGTAAGAAACGAAGTACCCAATGTTATCAAATAAGCAAAGTGCAAGTTACCAACTATTCAGAAACAATGTCAGCGATGTTATCAACTTTTAAGAAACAAAGTACATGATATTAACAAGTTTAAGAACCAAAGTACACGATATTATCAACTTTAATAAAGAAATATATAGGAATATGCTAGTCTCCAGTGAATTTGTTTTTACTTGATCCATCGATATGACATTGTTGAGCAAATCAAATATTATTATATATAAGTGAGTACAACAAAAATACCTTATTGAAACAATGTTCATAAGCCCTCACTGATGCGCTTGATATTTCAGTGGGTTCTGCACGGAAATGCTCAATGCAGAGCAATAAAAATCCCGTTTAAAATATAAATTGTAAGAACCCACAGATCACTCTAGTTTCACCATTAAACTCACTAGATTATATAAGTCAATATTTTTTATTTCCCCGCTGAATTCCACATACATACAGAGAGAGAGAGAGAGAGAGAGAGAGAGAGAGAGAGAGAGAGAGAAACACACACACATAAATATATATATATATATATATTGCTGAATAATGGTTAGCTTGAAAGTGGTCTGATACACAAGTAGACTGGTGTAGCCACCAAGTTAAACTAGCCCTGAGTTATTTAATGGAAAGATATATGGGTGAATAGAGACCACTCATGCAAGACAAAAGAAGGCAGCCATGTTAGCAGGTAAGTCATTTGATTTATAAATATATATATATATATATATATATATATATATATATATATATATAGTTTTAAGTAATACTATATTTAGGGATGGAGATCAGAGATGGAGCGTATGTAAATCTAGAAGTAGATTCTGAAATTAGCACTGAGTGGAGATAATCTGTTTCATGATTAAACGCAATCGTCAGATTACCTAAGTGTTGACTTCAATGTCCACTTTTATATATATGTATATAAGACGAAGGACAACTGAAAAGTTGCTAGGCTGTCCAAGATATAAATATAATTAGACAAATTGGTTGGTAGACTAAAAGATACGCCAGATGGTCATGTGTTGTATTCTGATGCACTTGTATGTCACTGAAATACGAGTGTCAGCTGGAAGGTTGCTAGACTGACCGAGATATAAATGAAAGTAGGCACACCTCTTGGTCAACTAAAAGACATGTAAGCGTACCAGAACATAACATTCTGGTACACTTATATCTCTATCAATTGGTGTGTCTTCTACAACTATACAATTTGGCGTATATATAAAGACGA